AGCAGCCACAGCAGGAGGTGAGCAGCTGAGTATGGGAAGGGTCAGTCTATAGCTGGAAGAATTCCACCCCTTCCCCCCCCCGTCCTTGCATGCTCATGGCTTGGCTCACATGGCATGCATATCACTGACCAGTGAGAAGTCATGCAGGATGGTGCTGGATGAGCGCCCAAAGCCATGATCTTGCTCCAAGAGCTGGGTGCTGAGGTCTTGCTTCTCCCGCCCCCATTTTCTTGCAGATTCTTCAAGCTGGGAGGGAGAGACCAGATACTTAGCGCGTTATTCTAGCGCTGCCCTGCCTGCCTGCTCACCACAGGTTTTCTCTTGAAAGCAGAGGTGGTGCAGGCTGCTCACTGACACGTGGGAACCGGACAAGTGCACCTTAGGCTGTTCACTTGTGGACTCCCCACCCAAGACTGGCTGTTACCCAGAGCCTAGAACAGCCAGACACAGCAAAGTGCAGTCGAGTGAGGAGGCAGCTTGGAAACTATGAAACATAGCCCCTGGGCAACAGGGTTGTTGAAGCCACACAGGAGGTTCTTTTGAGGTCCATTTCCCCCCATTAGTACCGATACGGGCACCTGCTAGACTCCTGGCTACAGCCCCCCTTAACCCTGAATAAAGCCAGGGGCTTATTTGTAGGAAAGCCTGTGAAAATGGTCAATGCCAGGGAGGCTGGTGAGCAAGGGAGCTTTTAGGCACATGTACTTTAAGGCCTTGATGCTGCTCTTCTGAGCTCCCATGGTCTGGGCCTCAGATTTGTCAAAAACTGATGTTTCTCCCTCCATGTTGTGCTCCTGCATGGTGATGGGACTCAGGGAGAAAAGTGGCACCGGACTGATCTTTTCTTGACTGTGGAATTCCTATTCACAACATTTACACTAACCACTGACTGCCTGTCTGGACAATTGTGAGAGCCATCTCTTCACCAACCAATAAACCTGAACCCATTCTCCCCTCCTGTGAGAAAGGAGCACAGATGAGACAATGCTTTGCATGTAGCCCCTTCTCCACCGGTGACCATGTAGCTATAGATACCTTGAGGGAAAGGCCAGTACCTGGGAGAACACGAAGGGGTAAGTCAGCCCTCAGGGCTGTCAGACTTCATTCTCATTCATGACACAGGATCATGCTCCTGGTAGAAATTGGGGATGGGATGCATATGCTGGGATGATGACCAATAAGAAAGGGTTTGTCAAATACCTGGCTTTCCAGAACATGAATGCGACCTTGTGCCTTCTCCAGCTTGGCCAGCAAGGATAGCTTCTCTGCATTGGTGGAGAACATGTCCTATAACACACAACACAGCCAGAAAGTGAGATTTGGAGCCTCTACATCTCCACCCCCTTCCCATCATGCCTCCCTTTACACGCCATAAAATACAGATAATGGGGATGCTAATAGGGTGGGGGAGAGAAAAAAGCCAGTGAGGGAGTTGCTAAGCAGGCCCTGGATCTGTGGAGGCTGAGGTGAAGGCACAACTTCAAATACAATATAATATTGCATTGCAGTAGTGACTAGAGCCTCCAATCATAGGTCAAGGCCCCATTACGCCAGGCACTGTACAAATCTGTCAGCAGAGAGTGTCCCTTTCCCAAAGCACTTATAACCCACTAAAAAAACGGATCTGCCAGGTGCAATGTCCTGCGCATGAAGTGAAGCACTCCAGCTGGCTAACTAGGGACCCTGCCCATGAGCTGGCCCATCTCACCGGCAAGGCTTGCTGCTGCAGGATGATGGGGGAGGAGCGGGAGCGGGCTCTGCCAAGCTCCTCCCGCAGTCTTAGGTTCTCAGCTAGCAGGCTGGAGTAGAATTCCTTGGAGAAGCTGTCAGCTGGGGCAGAAGAACAGAGAGGATGCTCAGACCCCTTCATAGCTCCATACCTTCCAGCACTTTCCCCACCCACCCCTGCACAGGGACAGGCTGGGGAGCCCAGGTCATTTCACTTCTTTGCCCCTGCCAGCTTGCTGTGCTGGAATCGGAAGACCCTAGACACAGCAAGGAGCTGAGGCTTTAGGTTTCCCACACTGGGGGATCTGCACTCTGACTTCCTTCCCATAGGGCCAGACATCACATGGAGCAGCACATTACTCCACAATAGCCCCATTGGTTGGTGTAAGGTTGGGGCAGGGGATGGCCCTGAAGGATGAGCCTCTCTGCTGGGTCCTTCTGAACTTCTGCATGCCTCCCAGGTGGCTGGTTGAGCTGTAACTTGGGCTGCTCTCTCTCTTCCTGCATCACTCAGGAACTGTCCGGCCCTCACATAAAACAGGGCCCGGCCCAGGCCCCTGGCTCTCACACAGAGAGAGGGGGGCATTTATCCAACAGTTGCTCACAGGTTCTAGCAGCCTCTGGAAACTTCTCTTCCAGCATGTGCTCCATCTTCTCAATCACCTTTGGAAGGAAAAGTTCAGTGGATGGGAGAGCGCCCATCATGGCCCCTGCAGCCCACATAACCCCAACAGCAGCAGGATGCTGCAGAGAGCTGGGACCATGGCTAGACAACATGTGAGAGTGTCCTTAGCACATGGTCCCAAACAGGGTCCAAATGTCTAGCTTGCACGTCATGTTGCCTTCAACTCGTGCTAAACAGGCTGAGGAGAAGCCCAGAGGGGAGTCTAGGTCAGCATGGTAAAGGCTGCTTTAACACTAGATTATTACAATGTGAGAGTCATACATGCTACCAATAACATCAAACCCTAGTCTGGACAAGGCCTTGCTCTGCAATGCTGCTGCTGGCCTCCCCTCCTGCTCAGTTTGCTCCTCTGCTCCCCAGCTGGAGGGGATTGTATGTGGAACAGACAAGGCACATCGTGTCCTTTAAGGGCGTGTCTATTCTGCACAGGGGCAGGTTAACACTTAAAACGTTGCAGTGGTGCACTGAACATGCTACTATGCTGAGGGGAGAACATCTCCTGTTGACGTAGTTAATCCACCTCCCCCAGAAACTAAAGCTATGTGGGTGGGAGACGTTCTCCTGTCAATATAGTGCTGCCTATGCCAGGAGATAGGTTGATCTAATCACTCAGGGGTGCGCATTTTCACACCGCAAGAGATGTAGTTATACAGTGTAGGTTTGTAGAACAGACCTGGCCTCAGGTTTGAGCTCAAGGTCTACCTCTGTCCACACACATCAGCTCCCCAAGCACTCAGGACCTAGGTCCTAGGACACTGCTGAGGGCGTGGATCAGAGCTTGCTAGGCCCAAACCCTGTCATTTTTCTGTGCGAGTGCAGCTCCAGCCACAGATCCCAGTCAGAGGCTCTGCTCAGTGCAGTGTGGATGTATTAAGTTGCAAAATAAGCAAACATGATTCCGGGATGCATTAACAGGTGTGTTGTGAGCAAGACCCGAGAAGTCATTCTTCCACTCTACTCTGCGCTAGTTAGGCCTCAGTTGGAGTATTGTGTCCAGTTCTGGGCACCGCATTTCAAGAAAGATGTGGAGAAATTGGAGAGGGTCCAGAGAAGAGCAACGAGAATGATTAAAGGTCTAAAGAACATGACCTATGAGGGAAGACTGAAAGAATTGGGTTTGTTTAGTTTAGAAAAGAGAAGATT